GTAAAAGATAAAAATATATTACCTTTTATATCTTTTCGGATCCAATCTTGAGTGCACATCAAAGCCTCTAAAGTGTCTTCCTTCAACCTACTACGTTGTTGACTTAAAACACGACCACTAGTACTAAAGGCGGACTCTAAAGCAACGGTAGAGATATGAATTGCTAAAAAGTCCCTTGCAATCTTTTGCAAAGTTGGAAATTTCAAACCATTTTGTTTCCACCATCCTAAGATGTCAAAATTTTCCTTTTTTTGTTTATCAAGCAAGACACCATCTTCCAAGTAGGAAGTAAATTCTGACTTGACATTTGTAGTTGAAGTATTTTCCATCACATATTCCGAATAAGCCTTCTCCCAATCTTGACTTGTGACATCAATGTCATCTACCAATGTTGATGCACCAACTTCACTACTTGTAGGAACCATATCATTATTTGGTTGATATTCTTCAACTAAATCTTCACACATTTGTATTACCTTTTCCAATTCTTTGGGAGCATTATTCCCATACATAAGTGGGAAGAAGTAATTAAACAAAGTTATTTTATATCTAGGATCCAAAACATCCCCTATTGCCATCACCCCATTAATCAAACTCCAATATTTGTCAAACTTCACTATCATACTTCTTGCCATACTTTGTATAGTATCACTAGAAGAATCTTTCCACTTTCTTAAAGCTAATCTTATTTGATAAACTTTGGGAAAATAAATGTTTGATGTTGGATACTTAGTACCCGAGAACAACTCAGTGACACTAAAAAATAATTTCAACTTGTCACAAATTTCTCTTGCCATTTTCCAATCTTCTTCACTTGGTGCACACTTATATTGGGAATCACGGCGTTGTTTTAAACGTTTAAAAACTTGTTCGTAAGGCAATGCAGAAGCAAGCATTAAATAAGTAGAGTTCCATCTTGTTCTACAATCTTGTGCAAGCTTCTTTTCATAAGTCATGTTCAATTGATTACAAGTTTCTTTAAATTTCCCCTCCCTCTTTGGTGTTGCTACCCAAAAACCGACACTTTCCCTAATCTTTTCAATTGAACTAGAAATTGTTTGCATGCCATCTTTCACTATCAAGTTTAATATGTGGGCGCAACAACGCATATGAAACAATTTCCCTTTTAAAATAAAAGAAGAAGGTGACATCTTATCAATCAAATGGTCAATCAGAGCATCATTGGTGCTACAATTATCAACGGTTAATATTGACAATTTTCTATCAATATTCCAATCCATCAAACAATCTACCAAAAAATCACAAATGACCTCAGCAGTATATGGCGTAGGGACATAAATGAACCTAAAAATAAATTATAATAAATATCACATAAAATAACTATATTATAATAATAACGTAAATGGAAGGGAGAAGTTACCTGATGATCCGATTCTGCAAAATCCAATTTTCATCAATGTAATGAGCTGTAACAGACATATATCCTTTGTTCTGGTTGCTAGCAGTCCACATATCAGTAGTTATTGCAATGCGGCTTTTATTCTTTGTAAGTATTTTCATTTGCTTTGACTTCTCACTTTCATACAACTTCATTATATCATTCTTCATGGTGTTGCGAGAAACTATCTTGAACAAAGGTTGAAGAGAATGGCTATAATTTCTAAAACCAATATGGTTAACCATCATGATGGGATATTCATGCAATATAATCATCTTCGCGAGTTCATTCCTAGAAACATCTTGATTAAATGTATAATTTCCAACCACAAATGATTCATGTCTGTTTCCGGATTTTTTTTCTGTCACTTTAAGCATGGCTTGTTTTGGACCTCTCTCTGTGCATTTTGGACATATGCTAATATGATCAAATAAATGTTTAGTACCATTTTTTGTATCACCACCAATTTTCTTATCACAAGATTTGCATATAGCCTTCCAAATGCCTCCTATTTTTTTGCCTTTTAAAATAGGGCCAAGCATCTGATTTTAATCCCCTTTTGTTAGGACTTGTAGTGGGTTCAACGGGAGCTTCAGGATCTTGATTTTCTATATTTATTTCATTTGGAGTAGATTGAACTTCATGTGTGAGTGAAACTCCACTACTTTCTATAGGAACTTCATTCCCTTCCAAAGCAACATTAGGACTATTAGATGATTGAACTTCACCAACCATTCTTTTACCAAAAACCTGGCACACACAAACACAAATTTTAAAAGGCTACATGGAAGTAGAACAAAAATAATAAATATATGAAAAAATAATAAATAAATGAAATAGTAAATACATGAAATTCACACAAAAAATAATTAATAAGAAAAATCTTATATTTCTAAATATATGATGCATTACACATATTTCTAAATATGCCTTATTTACTGTAACTTTTCAATTAGAAATAATAACATATATTAATTAATTATATACATTGAGAATACATTTATTTACCTATATACATGATATATTTACTCGTGTAAAAAGTTATATGTTATTATTTCACTTAATGGCTTTGGTTTTATAATTAGAAATATAAGATATATATTTTTTTTATGGGTGATAGCATGATATATTATTGTTTATATGTTATTATTTCATTAATAATTAGAAATATAAGATATTTGGTTTTTTTTATGGGTGATACCGTGATAGCATGATATATTGATTCATTTAAAAAGTAATATTTTTTTTGTTTAATATAGAAAATTAAATTATAGTGTGATATATTAATAAAAAATAGGAAAAGTATATTTTAATATTTTTTAAGGAAAAACTGACGACATTATTTTAATTACAAATGCATAGTATAGATAAAAAATGAACACAAAAATATTTAAAAGGAGATAAAAATGAGTAATTTTTTGATTATTTTATATTTTTTTAATATGCAAATGATTTGATAACTCTAAAATTTCTAAACAATTTAATTTAAATTTAATCAAAATAATCAACTTTTCCTATAAGCAATTACATGAACAGGTTTATGAGAATCAAGGAGAAACAATCTACTTTTTTCTATAAACAATAATATAAACAGATTTATGAGAATCAAAGAGAAATAATCTATTTTTTCCTATAAATAATTACATGAACAAATTTATGAAAATCAAACCTTATTGATGAAATTGTAAGAGCTGTGAATAATGGAAGCACACCAAATAGAGAAGATGGAATTGGAAGAGGAAGATGAATGGAGATTTGACTGGAGAAGAAAAAAAGGAGTCTAACGTGTGAGACTCTAAATGTCTGGCAGAAGAAAATGAAACGCTTCAACTTTTTTAGGGTCTAATATTTACATTTCTCTCTCTTAATAAATACATGAATATTTATTTATTTATTTTTATAAATAAACATAAAGGAAATGACTAAAAAACCTAATCTAAAATATATATATTAAATTAACTATATTAAAATAATAGGCGGGGTGGGGTCCCCGCGGGGCGGGGGGTGTATTCCCCGTCCCCGTCCCCGAAATGCTCTCGGGGGAATTTTTCTCCCCATCCCCGCCCCCACGGGGGAAAATTCCCCATCTTTGGGACCCCGAACGGGGCGTTCCCCGCGGGGATCCCCATTAACAGGTCCAAACTGACATCCCTATTGTGGATGTCCCTTAGATGTTATCCCGTTTCTTAAAGTCATTAGCAATTGTCTTTCTGTTTTTTAGGCGTATATTTGTAAGCAGTGATCATATTCAAATGCATATATTCAAGAATAATCACTGGATGTTTTCACACACAAAACAGGAAAATAAAAACAAAAGTTTTCCACTTTGTTGTACCCCAATTTTTGACCTAAGATCCCATTTTTGTTTTTGCATTTTTTAAGATAAGTCAAGGTCACGAAATACGGTTGGTTTTAACCTCTCACCTTCGAGCTCTGACTATGCGAAGATTGTCAAGTGTTTTGAACATTTTTAGCATATGTATCACTAATTTCTAATCGCATACAAAGGTGTATGTTCATGTTCTTTTGTGTCATGTGCAGAGACATGTCTGAATCAAGAGCATCAGGTGTCGCGCCTCAATTAAGGTTTTGAGTCTCCCAAGCCAGAAGTACGGTTGATTGTGGATTCTCGAAGACTGATTCATCAAGGCACACCGTTGCACCCATAATTTCGCCCCTAATTTTTTCAGTCGCACATTCATACCATATTTTGTCATTTGCTCACAATTAGTAGTAAATATTTTCATTCATCACATTTTGCATCATTAGTCGTATTTAAGTTAACCAGAAAAAGTCAGTTTAAATCAAAGTTTGCATCGTCTTTCAGTTGTAAAATACCCGGCGTTTCACTTCATTCATTTTTATCTGTTTACTATTTTCTTGCAGTGCTCCAAGTTGTTTATATGTCAATAATAAAAATATTTTGGTTTTATAGACAGACCGTTAAAAGCGATTCAATATTGTGCGAAAAGATAGCGATATAGTTTATGACGCGTAGATTATGACGGTATGCTCGCTTTATTTTTCGGTATAGTTTGAAGTCTCGTTTTTAACCGTAAATGTCCGTATTAGCCTGATATTTTATCATTTTATTTTTGACTTCTTGAATATTTTTTCTTTAATCTTTGTGACATGTAGTTTATTTTAATGTGTTTATTTTATTTTTTCGGATTAATTTTCGTCTGTTTTTTATCATTTTGGGTCTTTATTTTTTATTCTGAAAAAATTCAAAAAAATTATTTTAAATTGAGTTAATTTAAATACTTTCTGTTTTTTATTTCATTTTTATCATTAAAAGGGCTTTTTAGTCACAAAATAATGTTTGTTACACTATGCTTGATTTCTATTGGTTGTTGACAAAATTTGAGGATTAATGCATAATGATTTTATTTTGAATGGACGTGATTGACTTTGAAACCAACTTTTCTTTTTTTCATTTTTCTATATGAAGCATATTTATCTCTTTGTTTAAGAAAGACAAAAATGGCATGGCAGCAAAACAACTCATACCTCTTCTCTCTTTCCAACGTTGCAACTCCCTCTCCCTTCTCACAACACAAAACACAAACTCTTTCCTTCTTCTTCTTCCTATTGTTGGTTGATGGAGCTTCAGAAGCATCCAGATCATAACCTACCGGAGAAGAAAGGCCAGAAAAGGAAACTGGAGGAGGATTCTCAACACGACTCACAGATCTCTCTTCCTCCCACCGGAGACGCACAAGACGCACTTATATCCGACGTCAACCAACACGTTTCAAATCTCCTTTCCACTTTTTCATGGAACGAATCCGACAGAGCTTCTGCTAAGCGCGCCACACACGCCCTCGCGGATCTTGCCAAAAACGAGGAAGTTGTGAACGTGATTGTTGAAGGTGGCGCCGTTCCGGCTTTGATTAAGCATCTTCAACCGCCTCCTTTGCCTGAACACGCCGTTCCCAAGTCGTTTTGAGCACGAGGTCGAGAAAGGGAGCGCATTCGCACTTGGACTTCTTGCAGTCAGGCCAGAACATCAACAACTCATTGTTGACAACGGTGCTTTGAAGCATCTCGTTGATCTTTTGAAGAGGCATAACAGTGTCTTAACCTCACGTGTCATTAATAGTCTCATTCGGAGGGCTGCAAATGCCATCACTAACCTTGCTCATGAGAACAACAGTATTAAAACCCGTGTTAGGACGAAAGGTGGGATTCCACCATTAGTTCATTTGCTTGAATTTGCGGATACAAAAGTGCAAAGAGCAGCTGCTGGTGCATTACGGACCCTCGCATTTAAAAATGATGAAAATAAGAATCAGATTGTTGAATGCAATTCTCTTCCAACTCTGATTCTGATGCTTCGGTCAGAAGACGCTGCTATTCACTATGAAGCGGTTGGTGTGATCGGAAATCTGGTCCACTCATCCTCTTGCTGTAACTTCTTTTTCACCTTTTTTTTTTTTAATGATTATTATTTTTTAATATGTTATTACTATATTTTTAGGTTAGGTTATTGTTATAAAAGTTTGGGCTTTTCAATCTTTGAGCCCTTGTTTACTAACCAATATCCCCCTTATACTCTGCTTGCACCCCTTTGTTAAAAATTTGTTTTTAGTTTAATTTTAATTTCTTAACTTATTTGCTTTAGTTATTTAGTTTAGTTAGTAAAAATTATTTAGTAATCGCATTGTTTTAGTTAACTAATTTAACCATGGAATCAATTTAGAATTATTTAATAATCTTAGAATTTTTAGTTAGTTTAGAATTATTTTGATAACCTTTGAATTTTTAGTTAGCTTAGATTTATTTTAGTAAATTTAGAAATTTAAGTTAGTTTAGATTTAACTTAACAACTTTAGAATTTTAATTTTATAACTTAGTGATTTTATAATTAACTTAGTTTATATTTAAATTAGTTTAGATCTAATTTAGTAATTTTAGAATTATTTCTTATAGCCTTAGAATTTGTAGTTAGTTTAGGATTATTTTAACAAGTAATCTTAATTTAGTTCAAATAACTTTTTTAGATGATTAGTTACATTTATTTGTTTTATTTCCTTGTGGATTTTCGAATATTTGTAATTTGATGTTTATCTTATTTCGCTTGTTTGCTCAACTCCAAGGAAAAGATTTAAATCTGTTGACTTCACGTCATCAAATACATCTCATCCGATCGTGCGAATACCCTTTTTTTTCTTTTCATTTTTTGTTTATTTACTATTTTGCTAAACTCAAGATAATTTTCCCAAAAGACTCCATTTTCAAACTCACACTTTTTTTTAAGTCAAAACTTCGACACTAGGTTGTCGCATCTTCAAAATTTCGTCCATACCCATTTTTTTAGCCAAACGAACCATTTTAATCAAACAAACAATTTTAAACCAAAAAACAGATATTTCAAAAGGTTCCTGCGGAGTACCGCAGATGCATTGGGTGCTAATACCTTCCCATTGTATAACCAACCCCCGAACTCTCGATCTCTTTCAAAAACGCATTGTATTTTTATTACTTTTAAGTATTATTTTACATTGCATATTTTAGGGTTTTATTTCGCTCTTTTCCCTTTTCCCTTGGAAATAATAAAGCGCGGTGGCGACTCTTGCTTTTGTGAGTCAAGTTAATTAATAGCTTGATCTCCGATTTTCACCGCTACACACTTTTAAAGGAATAGTTTTGTATTAACTTGAACTAAGCGTTTTTGTACAAGGAGACAAACATCCTAGTAAGAGAGTGTCGTTATAAGAATTATATAAAAAAACAATATACAAAGAAATACAGCTATGTGAAATAATCTCATTGGATTCCTATTCTGCTATTGCCTTTATGTCCTTGAGCATCTCATCACTTTCGCTGCTTGTCCGAAGCTGATTGGATTGATTAGTACCGCTTTGAGCTTGATAGTTGATATTGAAGACTGGCTATAAGGTGATCCAACGGGACATAGTTATACACTTTAAATCCCTAACTTTTTCCTGGACCACCCTTTCGGGTTTTCAGTCCACCAGGATACCCCTTTTTGCCCAAGCCGCCTTTTCAGGTTTTCGACTTGCCGGGTGTACAGATTTTTTTCATGTATATCTCTAATTTTTGCCCGAACCCTTTTGGTTCACAGGGATGCCCTTACTTTTGCCTAGGCCAATAGACCTAGAGGGTTTTTGTTTATGCGTAGTGTTGTACCCCAATATTTGCCCTCTCATTCTTCAAGGCCTTTCTCATAAGGTTTCTCGAGGTTCAAGCTTGCACAAATATTTTGGAATTTTCCAGTACCAAAATTTAAAGGAAACTGTCAAAAAGGGAGAAAACAGATAAAAATATCATTTTGACGAAATTTGGAGAAATACAAGTGTTCTTCATTTCAGCTCTTTCAATTGGCCTTTTGATATCTTTCGACACAAGCTTGGCTTACGTCCTTCGACTGGGCATGGGCCTCTGGCACATTTTGGTTTGGATTCACAAGGGAAAAAGCCTCTTGTAATCTATTTCATTTCCAAGGCAAAAGGCTCTCTTTTAACATCCTTCGATTTGCACTTTTTGTTCCCTATTTGCCACTTTCGAATATGAACATTTTGTCCTCCTACGTACACTCTTTCGTTTGATCACATGTAACCCCTGGCATGTAAGCTTTCGATTGGACATGAGCCACCTTCACACAAAAGCTTCGATTGGAGTTTTATTTCCCTTCGAATCAGCATCTTTCAAACCCAACTCTGAATCCTTCAACGCAGTCTTCTTTAGTACATTTCCAGAACTCTTCGACACAAGTGGAAAATAGGATTTTGAAAGGACAACTGATCAAATCTGTGGACCCTGCTACGTGATCTTACTTTATAAGCCTTAATTCTTGTATTTCACTCCATAATTAATTGCTTATATTTTGGATTAAGCTATTGTCCAGGTGATTAAGCCTTTGTCCAGAAGTTTCTTGCGTGAAAGTGAACTTTCTAAGTATAAATCTTGTCCCAAGCCCACGCTTTGCTAAAATCGTGTTTGTACTTCCCCATAAGTCAGGGAAGTCAGCCCCTTTTAACCAACAACTTCAGTACTTCACCTTGGGATCTTTGAAAATCTGACATAGCTTAATATTCAGTTTCAGCCAAGCCACATCTTTGTTTAAACTTCCAAACCTTTTCTCTATAAATAGAGGAACCATTGACAAAGAAACGACCCAAAATTTTTTTTGCTAAGAAAGAAAAATCATAAAAACTCCTATATTCTCAAACTCTCCAACATTCTCAAACCTTCAAAACTCTAAGATTTTTCATAAAAAGTCTCAGTAGTGTACCTTTCAATTTATTTCCCCTAAACTGAAGCAACCTTCGATTCACCTTCCACCATCATATACTCTCCTTCGATTCAGTGACTGCCCAAACCAAGCAGTAATATAACTAGTTTCAGGAAGATCCCAGCGAAGCTCCTTCCACCATCAAAAAGTCACCTACAGCTCTTTCAACTAAACACTTCAAGAGGTAAGTTCTCTCTATCTTGGAACTCTTTCATTTAAACATCATATGCACCTGCCAATAAATAAAATGTAGATATCTCTAGACCATGTTTTAGCATTCGATTCTAACTGCCCACATGCTGAAAACTCAACCTTAGTTAGTTACATTTTGGACTTTGCAACCCATTGGTTTTTGTGCTAACCCCTGGACTGTAGTTATGTTTGGATGTTGCATTTTAAGAATTTGAGACAGGTTTATTATACCCTTCGACTGGCTAGCTGCACAAGCCTTACGAATCATAATTTGAATGCCTGATATGCTTACAAGGAGTCAACAAAGAGCCTGTGGAAAAGTTTGAACCTTGTTATTTCCAGGCTCAGTCGAGACACATTCCCTCACTTCTTTCAACCTCCAGTCGAAGAAGGCAACGAGGCAGAACCAGAAGGCTTCGTCATACACTGACTTCCAGGCCAATCGAAGGCCATGACCTCACTAGTGCTAGCCCTAATCGAAAGAAGCCAAAAGAATGCAGAATCGAAGGGTTCCTGCCTGAGTCGAAAGACCTTTTGTTTTCTTGCCTTTACTTTATTTTTGCCTTTATAATTTCATATTATTTAATATGGTTGTAATAGCGTAGGTTTTTATCTTCCTTTTGCATTTTATTATTTTTGTATGCTTGCTAGTAAAATAGGAAATGTATGGCAAGATAAAAACAACAAAATAGACAATCCTAATCAAATATAAAAGGCATGCAAATAACACACTTGCACACAAGCATCCTTAGGGTTTCTCCACTTGGTTGCCTAAAATAAAATGGCCATGTTACGCACGCGAAGTATCTTGGCAAAACAAAACAAATATAAGATCATAGTCCCTCGATGACGCTATTCAAAAGTTGCCTAAACAAAATGATCTTGGTCCCTCAAAAATGCTAAGATACTTGGCAACATTGCTATCATGGTTATACGATGACCCACGCCCGTCCCGTTTACATCCAAAGATAGGGTTGCTTACCAAATCAATGGTAAGTCAACAATATCAAAGGAATATAAAATGCATGAGAAAGACATTTGAGTAGGTAGATAGTTTCTAAGTTATTTGCTCCATTTCAAACAATCCTTGCTGTTTTCAAAAATAAATACACACACTTCAAAAACATCTTACAAACATTGAAAACATTTTCAAAAGACAAACATCTTTGTATACATTCTTACGAACGAGAATCATTACAAAGATTTCCTAACAATGGCCACTTTTACAAAATACTTTCAAAACCATATCAAACACCATTTCAAACAAAACAAAGCAAGTGATCTAAGCAAGTAACTAAGAGCCCATGAAAAACCATGGATGAAGGGTGCTAGCACCTTCCCTTTTCATAATCTACCCCCCGAACTCAAGAAAACATCTCAAAGGTCTTTCCTGTGATTTTTTACCTTTCCTTTTGGATAAAAGAAAAGTCGGTGGTGACTCTTGCTAACCGCGACATTTGCGATAAAACGCAAAACCTCAAGTCAGTTCTCCCACCGCATCACAGAACTGGAGACTCTGCTGGGGATTAATTTAAAAGTGGGGTTACCTTAGGGTTTTAGATCACATTTATTTGCTTACATTGTTTGACTTGTTTGCTTTACATTATGGTTCTTTGTTTGGATTTGAATCCTCCACCCAGATTTGGGAAACATTATAGGTAAATAGCAATACATTGTGGAAACTGTGCGGGGTATATCGACATGGTCTAAGCAATAGCTATATTAGTGTGACATATTTGTGGGTACCAGTAGCCTTTGAGTCAATTAAAGAGAATACGGGGCCGCTGAGTGATGTCATGAAGCACTAATGAACTTATAAAACCTTTACTTGACCAACTTGGCCTTTTAGGATGTAGTGAGATAACCGGCTTTGGTGCAGTACGAAGTTGGTAGATACTCGATACTACACTCATTGAGGGTTGTTTTCTTGGGATATTTCGGTTTCCAGTAAAGAGGTTTGAACTGAAACAATGAACAAAGGAAACAATCCAGTGATATTGAGCTCCTTAGAACCCGGTTACTATTGTTAGGACAG